CATGTTTACTAGTTTAAAAATATTTTAATATAACAGACAAATGCATGACTCTTGCTACTTTAAAATGTGCTTGAGGAATATGGGTGCTTTTATGCAAGGATAGACAAATGTCGAAAGGTACAGGCGAACAGAAGCTATTCAGAAAACCAGTGGAAGTGATTTCCCTTGTCTGTGAAGAGCTGGCTGCCTCTAGCCAGTTCAATTTTGTGACTATGGATTAGCCTGATAAGCAGTACACATTAAAAAATAAATAAATAAAAAAGGTATGAAAAGTGAGCTGTTAGGGATGGTTTTAGCCATCCTGTACCTGATTCAGCAGTACCCCTGCCAAATTTATTCCTACACAGTGCGAAGCCATATTTATCAGATAGTATAAGAAGGTATATCAAAATGGGGCTGGCAATGACCTTAAGAGATCACTCAGTCTGTCCCACTAGCCCTAGGCAAAATCAGCTAAATTAATGTCATTTCTGGCAGATATTTCTCTAATCTGTCCTTAGAAAGATCCAGCAGCCCTCTCAGGTGACCCATCCTCATGTGTTGCTCCTCTTCCCACAGTGTTTACTCCTAATGTCTCCTTTCTCGTTGAAACTGAACTCCATTCCTTTTCCTCCTTGTTCGTGGTGGACATGGAGGATAGATTATCCTTCTCATGTAAAGACTTACAGTGTTCCCTGCCACTCCTACCTGGACAAGGTACATCTCTGGTAAGTTTAACTGCTGAGGAAGCAGAGATCACGGCTGATGGGCTTGACCACCATCTCCACTGGAGGGAGAGAGATGCACCCAGTCTGGTCCATCCTAACTAGAGAGATGAACCAACCTATGGAAGAGTTTATCTTCCTCTGCTCTTTATAATCACTGCAAAGTAGATGCCTCTTTCAGAGCCCAAGTTACCAGAGACAAATCTCTTTGTCATCTGCTGCTGTTTAAGGGCTAGAATTTTTTTAATCTTTTCTCCAGGGGTTTTTGGACCATACAGTATATACTGTATTTCCCTCCAGACTCTGTTTTATTTTTAAATCTCTCCTTGTTGGGCTTTTTAGGTTTTCCTTATTATTTTTTAATGAGAAGCCTTTTAGGGCTTTGATTCTCAGCAATCTAATATCTGCATTGTAATTCCTCTTATTTGGGTATTGCAGCAGAAAGTTTGTGCATCAGTCCCTCCTTCCCTTTCTACATGGATTGCCTGTTTGCCTTTTTCAGGGCTTGGGCAGGATTGTGTGACTTGAATTTTTTATTTTTTATTTTTTTAAAATCTCTTAGTCCCTGTTGTTGATTATGCAGTTGAGGTTTTCCTGAAGTCTCATAGACTTTATTGCTGGCTTGTAGTACAAAGAGTGAAACTTGATGCATGGATGATTTCTTATAGTCCATGTAATGCTGGTTTTGGTTTGTTCTCAGTAGCATGCACATTAGTAGTTTAGGAGCTTCTCTATTTTACTGAACAGATGTTGCAAATTTTAGGCAGTTTTCTTCACTCTCTTGTGCAGCTTCATCTTTACATTTGGATTAGTTTCATCTAAAGCAGTTACGGAGGACATTTATTTTGGGGGAAATCAAAACTTATTTTATAGGTTCTCTCTCTCCCTCTTGGAAACAAATGTTAGAGTAAGGCAGATTCCTGGAGGTCTTTTTCTGCTGCTTTCACATCCCCTGGCATCCTGAAACTTCTTTTACTTCATTGTAGCTGAGTCTATAGTTTGAGCTCTTGCAAGATGACTGTCACTGGACATTTCTGTGTCCAAGTGTTCTACATATTTTTTGTAAATAAATAAGATTGCCCAAAGGACTATACCTGATGAAACTTGTTCTCCGACCAGAAAAAAAATTGAAAGCCGCTGAACGCTAGCTAACTGCTAGAGATAAAAGAGAACAACATTAGAAATACTCTCCATAAACAGCTTTATGATCTGAAGATACAGATGCAGGCATGTACCAGAGTTTGTTTTGAACATTAACGTACAGCTAGAGGCTTGGAAAACCCAGAGTTTCCACCAAGAGATTTTAAAGTAATTGGTCTCTACAGAATTGCAAGGAGATTGTTTTAATAAATGTGTTGAAGCTTTTACTGTTTGACTCTAAGACAGCTAGAAGTCAGCAAATTAATCGGGAAAAGAGTGGTGACTTTTACTTACAAAAGCAACTATGTTAGACATACAGGAGGATGAACACTATTACTCCAGTAATAGTGAAATATACTACAAAAAAACCTTAAGGTCTGCTTAAAGAAGTAACAAAGATCAAGGACTATTAATTCAGACAGGTTCCCACTGTGTTAATATGCTTTATTTCCCCCTTTCTTTGTCTCTTTTTCTTATCATAAGAACTAGAATTGCATCCCTGGAGGAAGAACTTGGAGGGTTTTGAAAAGTCCTGAAGAACCACAGATTCACTTTTTCTCTTCCCCATTATGCTCTTATGGCCACTTGCTGTGGGAAGCTCCTTCCCAGCAGCTTCAGCTCCAGGGCTGCTCTCAGGGTTGCTCCCGTGGGCGCAGCTCTTGTGGCAGGAGGTGCTGGGGATTGAGTCACACGTTGGAGCTTGGGATTCTGCCCCTGGGCCCATGTGCCTCTGTTTTGCAAGCAATTTAGCAATGCGAGCATCGCTGTTAAATTTATTAGATTAGGAGTAGGTATTGGGAAGATGTGAAACTGGGTTCTTAAGAGCCACAGACTTGCTTGTTTATTCATTTCAAAAGCTGGTGCAATGAACAGCAATTTAGATGAGGGACCTAGCAGTAGGTGTTCACTTTTGACTTTCTGCAGAATGAACATGGATGGTCAAATGATGCTGGGGCTGTTGTGATCATCCAGTCTGATTCTCCAGTGTGAAGTCATACTACTGTTTGCTGTAGACTCCATGTGTCTTTTAAAAAATACCTGGATTGATTTTTAAAATTTCACTCAGCTACAACAAGAATTCTACTGAAGCATCGAGGACATTTTTACAATTTCCAGTGTTAAATTGTTCTGATATTCAAATACCTTTACAATTTTAAAAATATGTGTCTCTTCTAGGCTGAAAATTTCTAGCTTTAGCTTCCAGTCCTTGGATATTTTCATGCCAGTATCTGTAACAAATGTCAAAGCCCTTTTTGCTAGCAAAAAACCACATTCATGCAGATGGAATTTGGGACTGCCATTAGCTGGGGACACTTTTGAAAAAAATGAATTTCATTGGCCAACAGTCTTGTGCTTTTAATGATAAGAAAGGCAGTAGGTAGAATTTTATGACTTACTTAAAAATAAGTATCTTTTTTTATTAACTTGGAAGCATATGTGTTTGCAGATTCTTAGTGTATATTGTTTCTTTCTTATTTTCTTTCTCAGGAGAGTTGTATTGTTCTTTGCCCAACCCTAGGAATGTCCATTTTGAATCTATAAACATGAAGAATGTCCTTCACTGGTCAGCACCAGAAGGCATAGGAGATGGAGTACTCTACAAGGTGAAGTATTCAGTGTAAGTTGGCTTGTTTATTTTATCCCGAGCTGGCTTTTATTTTTGCATTTTAATTAATAATTTAAAAGATCTTTATGCGAGGTAGGACTGCTAAAAAGTAAAGAAAGGAGAACTAAAACATGGGTTAGACTTAAGCAATATAGTTTTCAACTTCTGGTACTGCTTACTTCAGATCCAGTTTAAAAAAAAAAGTGAGGAGACTTGCTTCCTATTAAAGGATGCAACATGGAAGCTTTCAGAGGCAGAGAAAGAAGAACGGAGAAGGACTGTGCTGTGGATTGGCATCTGTACGCATTAGCCTTCTGTAAACATTTAAAAGGATCTGGAGATGAAGTATTTAATAGAATATTAACAGCACCCAGTGTTTCATTGGTCTTTTCTAACAGACTAGGCTCCCACAGATTTCTTCTGATTCTGCAAGCCTTTCCAGTCTAGGAGAAAATCCACTGAAGTTATCAACTATTGTAGAAAAACGAGTAATGTTATTGGAATGAGTCTCTTCTATTTTCAAGGTCTGCACCTGTGTTAGGATATTGAGGAGTCTGAGTGAGGACCAGCATCCATTTCCTTTATTCCCTCCAAGAGAGCACTGGCTTATTCTGCAGAACAGTTCTGGAAGTTTAGCTTAAAAATAGGCGTAGCACTGTAGTCGTGGATGAGATGTAAGGCTTCCAATCTTTACCTCTGATATGAACACCTCCCTTGGTCTAGTAATTTTTTCATAACACTAGAAAAAAAAATAGATCTCGAGAAGTTTCCTGTAACTTGTACTGACTAATAAAAAAGCAAGGAGTTGCTTCTAGTCAGAGACTGCAACCTCTGTCGCCTCTGTCTTGCTTGCTGTGCTAACAGAGGAGCAACGTAATCTGCCTCCTAGAAAAGGAGAGAATACTCAGTAATTATGGAATGAACAACAATTGTGTAGAAGGTAAAATGCTCAGAAAGCAGTGGCCACGCTGGCTCTGCAGGGTCAGCTGGGCCACCGAAGAGTCTGTAGTCATAGGTTCAGACATCTCTCACGCTGAAGACAAAAATATTCATATATGCTTCTACCTGCCTAGGAGAGCAAGACCTGGAGCTAGGTGGAAAATGCTGGTGAGTGATACTGTCCTGCAGTCATGCAGAAGCTACTGCATGCCCTTACTAATTAGCAGGCAAAGGGGAGTTCTTTTCAGTATAATGTGAATTTGAGGAGCAGGAGCTTTTGAGCAAATCCAGGCAGGAATTTTCCAAGGAAACCTTGATTTCTTCTACTAATGTATAAGAGTTGGTCAGTATTGAGACATTGTTGGTGGCGTGTATATGCCCTTTTTCAACTAGAAGGGTTTTGAAGTTCATTGTATTCCAACGTAGTCTTTTAAACAAGAGAAGAAGTCAACAGTCAGCGATGAGTAGTCTCCTTTCCACTCACCTTGGAGACCCAGAGCATCATCTGTCTCTGTACACCTGGGTGAGCCACTGGCCATTCTGACAGAACTCTTTGTCTCTACATAAATAGTTATCCTGATTCTGTTTTCCTGTCTTTAGAGTTTAAATTAAAGCTGTGGAGACTGAAGTTGAGAGATCTCTGGTCTATGTAAGCAAAACTGGACTTAGATTGGTATCAGTAACATCACAGTTAATTCCGTATGGCCTCTTCTGGATAGGGCCTACTCTGATTTATTTTTTCATTAAAAACTTGTGGAAATCTTGTATTTTAGCTCAGCTGAAGTTGGGAATTCCTTGAAATTTCTGTTTTCTGCAAAACAAGCAAACTGTTTTATCAGCCATAGTATGAGTTTCTGTGCTTTATTGTCAGGTAACTAATATCATGGCAAAAGCTTTTGTACAGTTCCTTTCTCAATCTTTTTCAATATAGATACGGTGTTGGCAAATGGATTAGAAAGCCAGAATGCAGGAATATCAACAGAACATGGTGTGACCTCTCCAGTGAGACCTCGGACTACGAAGAACAATACTACGCAAGCGTTAAAGCCTTCCTAAATGGGATGTGCTCTGACTGGATGGAGACCACACGATTCAACCCTCTTACAGACAGTAAGGAAAGCTAATCACACAGCCAGATGTTCAGTGGTCTTGATTAATACTGTGTGCTCAGACTGCAAGTGCCTTCATTGCATATGATATTTTAATTTTAACATGGGGTTAGATTTTTTTTGCAGTTGTTTTATGTTTACTTCTGCTTTTGGCAGAAGTACTTGAAATAATTATATTAGAATTTGGATATATGTGTGTTATATATACTGTCTTATATATATACACTGAGCCCTCTTTTATGCTATGGTAAAGCTGTACTCAAGGCAGATAAAAGATGTGGCACATCCACATCAATCCACAGTATAAATAACGCTTGATTTTGAAAAGGTTCTGTTAAGTCAAGCAGTAATCATACTCTAAGGCACAATGCCTCTTATCTGTGCCAGATAATCTGAGAACATAGTGATTTAGCTTGTTTTAGCAAATTGAGTTTCAAGGCTGTTTATCTTGTGACGTCAGAGGAATTCCTAGGCAAAATTCCAAGTCAGTGTTCACCTTCTCGCTGTAAAGATCCTCTAAGTTATCTGATAAAATAATTTTCTACGAATATAACTGAATTGTTCAAAGTCTTAATTAGACTTCCAAAAACATGACAAAAAATTAATGCCATCCACTTTAAGAAACTGCATGGTCAAATCAATGTGCCTCTGCTGCGTTTAACTGCTTTTTGTACACGTTCATTTTTCCAGCTAAAATTGATCCCCCCATGGTAAGTGTATCTTCTACTGAGAAATCTATTTCAATCATTCTGACTGCTCCTGAGAAGTGGAAGAGAAGTCCTAAGGGAGAATCCATTTCTCTCCTTCAAGTGTATCCTGGTCTGCAGTACAACGTGTCTGTGCTCAACAAAAAAACAAAGAAGCGGGTAAGCTTTGACAAGGCTGCAGAACTGCACTGGTTAAATCTGTGCTCTGTGCTTACTGAAATGCACTTTGTCCGTAACAGCAAGGGTCAAAATAGGATTCATGGCCTCATAGGAATTGTAAGATTATTCAGGTTGGAAGGGAGCTCAGGAGGTCTCCAGCCCAAAGTCCTGTTCAAAGCGGGATCAACTGTGAGCTCAAACCAGGTTGCTAAGGGTTTGTCCAGTTGCATCCTGAAAACCTCCAAGGATGGAGACTGCACAACCTGGTCCACTGCTTGACTTTCCTTTTAGGGAAGAGCGTTTCTTTATATCCAATCTGAACCTCTCTTTTTGAACTTATGTTCATTGTCTCTCATCCTACCACCATTCAGCACTGTGAAGAGCCTGGCTCTGTCTTCTTGATGACCTCCCTGGGTCATCCCAAGGGCTGCTTTTAGGTCCCCCCTGAAGCCATCCCTAATTCACCAAGTGGAACAAACTCCAGTCCTTCAGCCTCCCCTCACAGGGCAAGTGCTCCAGCCCCAACCATCTTGGTGATCCTCTGCTAAACCCATTCTAGTTTGTCAGTCTTTTCTGCATTGTGGGGAGCAGAACTGGTCATAGTATTCTAGATGTGGTCTAATGGGCACTGAATATCCCAATTTGAAAGATATTTGTGGAACTGTACCTTGTGCCTTTTATTGGCCGAGGTATCAGGACAGGGCTGGAGTGGTGCTTTAGCTCTATTGAAACATCAGCATGAGAATGTGGGCTAGTGGTAGTACACGGTCCTACTTCGTATAAAACGTTAAATTGTTCAGCAGTGGTAGAAGAATGATTGAATGGAAGGCAAAATATTCAGAGAGGACGTGACCTAATTGTATTCAGAAAAAATGGATGCAGCTGGCTGTTCTTACAGTATCATTATTCTTTCCAGAAAATTTGTGTGCTTGTGACACATTTTGTATAGAAGATCTTTACTTTTCTGGAAGTGAGGATTTAAAGGGGAAAATAATTCCTTTTTCATGTCTTCCAGTGGTTCTTCTCCATCAGCAACAACACCTTGGTTGTGCCCTGGTTAGAACCTGGAACAGCTTATTGTGTCAGTGCACAGATATATGTCACTACACCACTTTTGCACAGTGGGTTCTCTAAAGAATACTGCATTGCTACGTTGAAAGGTATGTATATGCTGTCAAATTGCAAAAAGAAGGTGCAAGTTAGAAAAAAAAAAATGGTGATTGAATTTGTAAGTTTTTTATGTATCCATTTTGAGAGCAAAAAGCTAGCATTGTTTCTCCCCTCGCTGTGCATTTGTGCTGATGAAAAAAATCCTTGCCTTTATTAAAACATAGCTGGGGTCTACAGGCTGTAAGGTATGACATCGTCTCAGAAGAAAAGGATCTGCATTCTTTGAGTTTTAGTGAATGGAGAATATTTTTTTATCCTTGAATGAGGTCTGGGAGTGGCAGAGCTGGGTCAGTCTCAGGGGGCAGAAGTTAGCAACAGGAGAACCTGAGGGAGGGATTGTTACTTCTTTTTATAATTTACTTTAGAATTTAGATAATAATAAAACTTTGTCCTGTAGCTCAAATGTAATTTTAAAAAATTTCCTGCAAATTCCTTGTTTATATAAAACATTTGCATCCCACATCCAAAAAACAATGAAGTGAATGCACATTACTGTCTGAATACATTTAAAAGTTGCTCAATACAATGAAAACTCTTGTTTTGTTAACAGATAAAACGGCAGATGAAACTATAACAATCGTATTTGGATATGTTCTGCCCATCATGCTTGCTGTCCTTTTTATTTCAATGACATGCTATTGGGTGCACAGGTACATTCATGTCAGCAAACAGAAACATCCAACAAATCTGGTAAGTTTTCTCTGTTGCAGGAGATCGTTGCCAACCTTGGCACTGGCAGGAGAGCCATGCATTTTCCAGAGCTCTGAATCAGCTGGGAGGAAACCATGGCTATCTGCAAATAAAAGCTTGAGGGTTATTAAATGCTAGAAAAAGAGAGTAATGACTCAAGTTAGCAACTGTGTCTAAAAAGATGCCTAGATCTGAAAAGATGCCAAAGCTAATGAGGCTCAGAACAGAGCTGTTGGTTTGAGAAGAGTCATTGCCATAAGCAAGGTCTGAGGTGCACTGAGGCAAGTTCTGTTAGGAAGTCAGCGCTCCCTAAATTGATCCTGGAAGAAGCACAGCAGAGATTCAGTGAACAAAAGTTATTGGTTGAAATCAGAAACAAGAAGAAAAGGTAATTACAGAATCATAGAATTGTTTTGGTTTGAAAAGATCTTCAAGATTGTCAAGTCCAACCATAAACCTAACACTGCTGAATCCACCACTAAACCATGTCCCCAAGTACCACATCTACACATCTTTTAAATACCTCCAGGGATGTTGACTCAGCCACTTCCCTGGGCAGCCTGTTCCAGTGCTTGACAACCAGTGCAGAAACCCCCAGTGTTTTCTTAGACTATTAATGGGTATTATCACATTTTGCCATTTAATTGTGATTGTGAAGGATTTAACACACGTGGATAATACAGATAATTTAATCTGGATTTCAAGAATGCTTTCAAATACTGTACTGTTTCTTAACACCTAAAAATATACCAACAAACACATTCTGTTATTTACACAAACCAAATCCACTTTATGTATAAAAATGTTCACAAATTTCTTAGAGCTGCGAAGTTTGTTAATTTTTAGAAAGAACACATGAAGTCTAAGAAACACTATTTGACTTCAGCTCATGAGCCCAGCAGAGCTTTCTCACAGTTATCTCTAAACAAGTTGCTCAAGCATAAGCATGCAGTTACAACAATGAATGAACACTTTGATGTTAATCCAATCTGCATGACATTGTGGGATGGGAGATATAAGGGAGTTGATTTCAACATGCTGATCTTTCTGAAGAAATCTAGAGCAGCACAGAGGTGATAGGAGAAATGTTAACAGAGAGACTGTGGGTTCAGATGAAGTAGAGCACCTACTGCTACAATATGTTCAGATGTGCTCGGAGACACGTCCTGCACCTGGTGAGGCACCAGCTTAATCACAGAATCATGGATTCACAGAGTGGTTTGGGTTAGAAGGGGCCTTTAAAGATTGTCTATTCTAACCCTTCTGACACATCTGTCACTAGACCAGGTTGCTGAAAGCCCCATCCAACCTGACTTTGAACACTTGCAATTATGGGGCATCCACAACTTCTCTGGGCAAACTGTTTCAGTGCCTCACCACCCTCACAGTAAAGAATTTCTTCCTTATAGCCAATCTAAATCTACCCTCTTTCAGTTTTAAACCAGTGACTACTGTCACTACAGGCCCTGGAAAAAAAGTCTCTCTCCATCTTTCTTATCTGTTATTCTTTATCCTGTGAAGCAGGACATGGTAGGGGAAGATAGCTTGGTCTCTCTTGAAGAGCTAGCAGGACAGAGCTCTTTACAGTCCAAGAATGTAAAGAGCTACTTAGTGAAAATTTCCCACTCAATAGCTGACTAAAATCCAATGCCAGGAGTTTTTTCTTTCAAAAATGTATAATTTGTATGTTGAGGTTTTTTTTTTTAATGTTCGTTGTGCTATTTTATGACTACCTTGAGCTTCAATTTTATATCTCCGTCTCTAGATTCAGTTGATGTTAAGGTGGCAAATGAATATGAACCTGGTGTTTTAATGATACTCTCTGGCTTTCCCAGCCTACAGACTATTCCACATGGGCACCCCATGTAGTCAGGGGGAGGTGGAATAAGCACTTTGTTTTGGTCCAGCACTTCTGACCTGAGGGAGTTTTCAGCCTACCTGGTATATTAGTGGTCTTAGTGTTCCATTCAGGCTTGAAAGCGCTGAAATGCAGCTTATGGTTGTTGTTTTTCTATTCCTTTTGTGGCTGCTCATACATTGTTTATTCCTGTTAGTAATATTAGTCGTTTCAGAAAGATGCCTATTGTTTAACTAGATGATTTATCACAGAGTCACAAAAGCTGCCTGTGACAGACTGCACAACGCGGGCTTCATACACTGCACTTCAACCTTTTGTACAGCCTCCTCTCTGAAAGGAAACCTGATGTTATTTAATTCTCTGTAAGCTATACCATAACATGGTACCTGAGTCTGTGCTTGTGGGATGTGGTTTTGACTGCACTTCCTCTTCACTAATTAAAAAGAGTGGAATAGATTCTGTCATCTGTGATCCAAGGACAACTTTTCTCCTTGACTTTGTGCTGGTGGAAACAAAATCAGAATTTGACAAAATTGTTCTAACCATTATTTTGACATGGGGAAGATATGAAAATTTATATTAGAGCTGGTCATAATATAGTTTTCCTTTGAACAGAATTAAAAAAAGAGCATAATAACACTCCTGGAGGTTTCTATGATGAACTTCCTTCTTCCCTAAATTGAAATAACCTAATAAGGTCTAGCCTAGCCTTATTTGTAAAAAATGGATGATGATATAAGAAGCAGCAAGATGGCATTTTTATTATACTTCACTCAAAAATATTTTTTTGTTTCTAGGTATGGCACTACACTGACAAATGCAAGGAACGGGTGTTCATACCGTGTGAAAAAATAGTGGTCAACTTTATCACTCTTAACATGGATGAGCACAAGCCATCTCAGGAATCCAGTTGTCTATCAGAGAGGAAAAGTCCCCGTTATTACACTGTTTACAATGGCACTGAAGGGGAGAGTTTGTCTTCAAAAGAAGTGCTGGAACCAAAACACTTGCTTGATATTTCACATGAAGAGATTTCCCACGAAGAGGATATCTTAGCAGAAGGGGACCAAACTGGGAACTGGCCATTATATGGCCAGCCTGGAACAAAGAATACTTTGAGACAGAAAAATGCAGAGACTGTAGAGTATGAACATGATGTAAGGGCTGAAGACTTCAGTCCTGGTCAGAAACTAGAAGACCTCAGTTTGAAAGAGAAGACCTCTGCCTCCAGGGGACTACTAGGTGAGCCACAGAATGCTTTGGGGGTCTTGATTAATAAGAAAACAGGACAGCCATATTGCCCCCAACTAGAGGTGAGGGCAACAGACCTTTGTTTGGGACAGAAAATAGAGGAACTTAATTTGAAGATGGTTGATGCAGCAGATGAATTGCAAGGTGAGACCCATATCAACTTGGTGGACTTGGATGCTGAAAAATCTGGGCAGACCTTCTATCCTCAGCTGGAAAAAATAACACAGGGTATCATGGCAAAAGAGGGTGGACAGACTGTATTGGTAGATTGGGATCCGCACACTGGAAGACTGCGTATTCCTGCCTTGTCCAGTGTTGAAAATCAGGTGTGTGAAGGACTGTTCAAGTGTGATGATCCTGACAAAGAGGGAATTTTGTCCAGACTGTACAAGAAAGAGGTATCTAATGAAACATCAGATGACCAAGAAATGTATCTCATGCAATTCAAGGAACAATGGGGACTGCATGTAGAAATGGAAGACTGAACATTAATTTTCTAAAATATTCTAAAATACAGAACCTTGTTTCCTTTGCCAAAGAGAGTGTTGGACTCAGTGGAGCAAACGCATCTTAATGTATTGAAGTTTTCGGAACCATCACGGTTGAACAACTTATTCATTATATGTTATTTATAACAGTTTCTAGGTGTGATATAAGTGATTCTGACTCCCATCATAAATCCCTCAGGTAAAATCTGATGGTTATAAGATTATCTACTTTTAAATATATATATATATATTTTTACAGAGGATGCTGTTACAATTTTGCGTTGTAATTTCTACCAAAACAAGTGATCGGCATTTAGAATAAGTTATTTTTAGCAAATAAAAAGCAACACTATGACATTTTGCTGGGCTATTTCATGTGTCTTGACACAATGCAGTCTTTTCTAGGTCTCACTCCTTCTACATGTAATGGTTTCAGCTGACTTTTGTGGAAGTTAAGGGCATTCCAGTATATATTTTATTTCTGCTTTATAAACATTCTTCTATTTAAATATGTTCTTACGTATTTCTCTGGAAAGGCTTGTGCGAGGTGTGCGGTCCTGTCCATCCTGTGCCGCACAGATACGCAGCCAGCAACAATTCTTTTACAGGTGTGCTTACAGCCTCAACAGATGTAAGGGAGAAGAAAACTTTGGTTAGCTACATTTAATAGACATAATGCAGCCAAAAGCAAGGTCTTGTATCTAGAAGCAAAGACCACAGTCTATGCTTAAACATAAGGCTACTAGTAGCCTTGACATCAATGATTTTGAAAATGATGTGGGAGATTAATAGAAGTAAGTAGTGGTATATTGAGGACAAAAGGATGTATATTTATTGACTACAAAGGGAGTGAAAATAGAATTTCACCTGCGTCTGCAGGGCTGGTGTGACCACTTACTGGAAAAATAGCATCCAGTTTACAAAATAAGACAAACCATGAAGATGGAAGGCAAATACTACTATAAAAGGCTAGGGCAATGCTCTTCTGAGCTTGAAAAACAGGAAACCTTGCTATCAAAATGAGATCTAATGTTGATGAAACTGATAGCTAGGTGTGGGTACACACAGTTTTGGAAAAGGAACTATAATTTGCAAGTGTGGTTTTCGCTGCCTACAACTTAGAGAGAGTGACAGGGTTCTTGAAGGAGAGACTGAAGCAGGTAGCTGAGTGCAGGATACCTGTGGTCTGACTTACAGCAGCCCTGGAAAAACTGCTGCACAATCCGAACAAGCAGGTGGAAAAGTCCACATATGGCAGGCAAAAATGCAGTATAAGCTGTGTACCTGGCACAGTAAGGACTGCAGATGGAGTGCCCGCCCAGTGCATGAAGTTAACCAGGTGAGGAATACACGATGACTGCCTAATACACAATGGAGGCTGACCTGTACCGTGAAGCATAGGGAAATAATTGAATTGTTAGAAGGAAAACCAAATTACACAGCCATTAGATGCAAGCAGCTGGATTGTCTGGACTTCACCAGGCTCTCTGATCACGTCACCAGAGGACACTAAAGGAGCATGGGTGGCTGGACAAGGCTGAGATGAGGATGCTGTCTGCAAAAGTGGGTTCGGAAAGAGTTCTTGGAGTGGCCCTCTTGAGGGTAGAGGGTAAGTGGGGGCATTTTGGAGATGCCAGCAGTGCGTTAGCATCTGTGATAGTCCAGTAATTTGCAACATGCTGGTAGTGCCATGGTTAGAAGGAGGGGTGGGCTCTGGACAGAGTAGCTTAACACTATTAATCAGCACAAATTTTCCTATAGATATTAAGGTAGGTCCAGCAAGACCTCTGACAAATATTCTCAGGGTCTAGAAAATTTACAGTGTGAAAACATCCTGAGCAAGGAAATACTTCAAATTATATTAACAAATGACTGCACAAAAACATGCTAATTTCTACTGATTTCAAATTAAATTCTAAATTAAGCTTATGCTTTAGCACTTCCCTAAAAAGGAATTAATTCCTCAATTTGGGACTGAAAAAAATCTATCAGAGTTTGCCAGAAGAGAGTTAACTAATGACTTCCTTAAGGTCTAACCTGCAAATACAGGCTTAACCAGATAAAATTACTGGAATATGAAGCAAACAAAACTAAAAATAGAATGGCAGCATGGTTTGAACATTTTAAAACAAGGACAATTGACTGTTTACGAAGGGCTGTGACAATTCTCTGATGTGTGTAGGTCTTTCAAACAAGTGTGTCCTTCTTCAATAATAACACTAACAGATGGGTGACATTTCTTGCCTGGAATATGCTGAATGGTATAATGATGCTCTTATGCTGTCAAGTCTTAAAACTGATTAATCCTTTTTTCCCCTTTAAATAAGAAATATTGGCTCATCTATACAGTGGGGTTAAAAAAACCCGTTATTCCAAGAACTCTACTTTTGAACACTTGCAGCTTCTATGTCTGACGTGATTCATTCTTGCAGTCAAAGATATAAACCTGCTCAGCTATCTCCCATCATCCATTCAAAATACCAATGTTCTCCATAAAAGGAAGACATAGCAACAAGTCAAGACTTTTCTGCTTTGGTTTTGCATATAGGTTTCAAGCTTCATCAGCCCAGGATCACATAGCAGTAAGTGTAGGAAGTAATTTTCATGTTTACTGTCACCTAGAAACCATAAAGATTTTTGGAAATTTGTACTAAGCTGGTCTCCTTAATTTCCCACTGTCTTTCCTTTTCTGTTACCAAAAAAAAAAAAAAAAAAAAAAGAGAGAGAGAACAAAAAGTACAGACTTCCATTTTTTAAAAGCTCCAGAGCCAGTTTAGCTGAGACAGATTTTCCTGGACCAAGTCAGATTTTAAGAAGAGGATTGCTCCTTAGCACCACATAGCTATGAAAACCCTCACTTGCTGAGAGAAAACACACATTCCGGTAGTGCTTCTTCAATTCCTGGCTTTTGCATCCATTCTGCTGGGGGAACTATATCCTGCATTACAGCAATGTTTTTCAATCACACTGTTCCTGCTTTGAATGCATGTTGCTTGCCACTGCTCTTTGCAACACTGTAAGGTCTCTGCAGGCTCAGAAACCTGCAGAAAGGGAACAGTCCTAATTCCATATCGCTTGCAAGATAGCCTCCTACATCTCACCCTGCCTTACTTGTTACCTTGTCAAAGTTACAAGGAGTTACTCATCCAAGTAGAAAGGTAGCACTGCTCCTCATCTCTGACAGCAGCTTCAGCAAATGCTGTCTGCTGGCATCTGAAATTGCCACAGTGACTCCCGTAGTGCCAGAAACCATTCTCATTTCACAGTAACTCACCCAGGTACTGGCTTCAGCGGCAGCAGCCTGTGCTATAAATATGCATTGTCAGCTCTGCCTTCCAAAAACTGGCAATAAGAAACAATGCCTTCCAGCCATCCAAAGTAAGTTGGCAAGCTGACAGCAGTGTGGCCAAGTATCAGGGCAGAAAATCGCCTTGGGTTTCTAAATTCTCAATGATCACGTCATTGAGCTGGGAGTGGAGGAAAATGTTCAAAAAAAAGCAGGACCTCCTACTGAAATCAGCAGAGAATTCTACAAAGTACCTGGACTCCTCCAGTGTGACAGAGAAACATCAAAAGATTTAAGCATTTTTTACTGCTGTGGATTAGGAGAGTTAGTACTTCAATACATCATTTGTATTTGTATTTTAATTTTGGCCTTGATTTTTATTTCTGTTCATATTTCAGGTCCTCCAAGCATTTTATAGTCATTAAATACAAAGAAAGAGGAGTTGCTATTCCAATTTTACACACAAGAAACTAACACATGTAAAGGCTAAAATGGCTTGAAAACAATCATTTTACTCTTTAAGCATTTACCACAGATTATATGCACTCTAACAGAAAACAAAACTCTTTTTTTTATGGTTAAATAGGTTTTAAAGATAGATCTTAAAAAGTCTTGGGGTGCACTTTTCCCTGGCATGCAAGATTGAAATTGTGTGTTTCACAGACTGATGGAATCAGATGTTTATTATTTACCCAGCTCCATAAAGATGTAATATGAATTTTGGTAAACTCCACTGAGCTTTCATGGTTAATCATAAATTTTAACACCATCCCCAACCTCAACCCTCCATAATTTTTAGCTGTGAAAAAAAATGGGCAGCAGTCCGTTCTGCTGCTCAGTGCTATGCTCTCTTTTCCTCCTACACCCTGTTTTCCTGGGCCTCACATTTTTAAGTTGTAGCCAAGGAGCAGCCTGAGAACTGGGCAGCAGTTACCAGTTGGAAAGGAATAGTCAGCAATTGTACAGGGAAAGTGCAGTTTGTTATGGTAAAGATGGTGTGCATTGCCAAAGAGCAAAGGAAAACAGTAAAAGCTGTTTAAGGGTTGTTTTCTGTTCTGCTGAATCAGGAATTCAAGCATGCTGGAGATGAGCAGAGAAACCCTGGGGCAATGACAGGAGCTTTCTACCCTCTTCTTCTTGGCAGGAACTTGTTGCCACTCGGAGATAGGAGTGCCTACATCCCAGCACTGACCTACTGGGGTTCTCAATATGCAGAATGAAAGCAAAGGCAAAGGGCTCCAAAGAAATTATAGCTACAAGTTTAGCTTCTGCCTGAAGCTGGCACTCAAATTGTGTCTGTAAGGATTACAAGCAAAGACACTTCTAAGGAACAATAGGGGTAGTGATAGGAAATCTGACTTCTTCTCCTTTCTCCCAGTCTCCTGCTCACTAAGGCACTTTATTGCAGCTGCTGAGGAAGGCCCTGAAGCAATGTCACCTGCAGCAATGTCACCTGCTCTGCTGAGCCTCTGGAACCAGCAGTGAGCTGGTCTATAAGCTCCTTTCCCACTAAAGAAGCAGAGGTTGGTTAGTAAACTGATCTCATGGTTTTGAAAACATGAATGTGAGCATCAACTTAAAAAAACCCCTCCAAATCATCTATCATATTGATTTATTGATGAGTGATCTACAATACCTTTAGTGTACCTTACATCAATAGTTAAACATTAATTTACTTCCATTTGTGTCATTCCTGTATTTGCAGCATCCT